TTTTTGTTGTTGTTGTTAGAGGGTGCATACAATCACCAGATAGAAACAGATAAAGCATCTCCTATGGGAGATGGTCATACCACAATCTCTTCTCTTCCATTTCTTCCTCCTTTAGGGATTTTGGGCATGCATGCACATGTGCCTGGCATGATTCTCAAGCTGCTGAGTCTAGGGCTAGGACCATATAATTGCTGGCTAGAACCATGTAGATGGTCGTGTGGGATCTGGTTGCCTTAGTCACCAGGTTATGGAGCCAGCCCTTTTTTTTTTCTGCTATTTATTTTCTATTTAGATACAAAAATACTTAATGCGTGTTACAATTGCCTACACTATTCAGTACAGTAATAGCCTAGGAGCAATGGAGTGTGCAGTAGGCCCTATGATCTAGGTCTGTGTACGTATAATACTGTAGGATGTTTACACAATACCAAATTGCCTAACAGTAAGTTTCTCAGAACATATCCCTATCATTAAGCGATGTATGACTATATTTCCTTAAAAGAAATATGTCACATATTATCAGTAGGTGTTTGTGGATGATGGAGTTACATGTCTCTTTTTCTTTAATTTTTGGCATTTAAAAATTCCATATATTGACTATGAATTATTTTTATAATGATAAAACGTTTTATTTTCTAAAGGATGAAATAAAAATGAATATATTTACTGAGATCTTTTTGGAAAAGGAGATAATGGATCAGAAAGAGCTTTGGTCCAGGAATTTGGGCTGGCGTGCTTAGCACTTGAAAAGTGATAGACTGATGGTACCAGCAGTTAGTGTAATGTCTATGTCGCTGGACTCCCACGTAGTCAACCGCGGTTCGCGTCCCGGACCTGGTGGCTTAAAACTCACGCCGGGCGTGTGTGCGTGCGTGCCCAAGATCCCGAGAGGAGAATGGAAGAGAAGGGATTGCGGCGTGATCATCCCCCCTGGGGGGTGATTTCTCGCTTTCTGTCTCTATGTCTCTCTCTGTCTGGTGAGCGCACGCTCCCTATAGCGAAAATCTCTCCAAAAAAAAAAAAAAAGTGATAGACTGGGAAAAGTGTTACCAAGCATTTTGTTTCTCTGTAGTTCTGCATTTCTCAGTTCTGCCATGGAGATAGTGTTTAAAGGAAGCGGTTACAATAGCACATTCTTCTATACCCACTCAAATCGTGGTTGGTCTATTTTTCTTTTCCCAGAGGCCTTTCTGTTCTGTTCTGTGATGTGTATAGTACTGAGGTCACTAAGACTATAACTACATTTGTTTTATCTTTTGTTTTTTAAAAATAATTATAAATTTTATTTATCATTATTATTACTTTTTAATTTGCTACAAGGCATTTGTGGTCATCAGAGAGAGACACACATACACACACACACACACACACACACACACACACAGAGAGAGAGAGAAAGTGAGAAAGCAAGCCACCAGGCCTGAGACTTGAACCACAGTCAGCCAACTGAGAGTCCAGTGCCCTAACCACAATGCCACCTGTTAGCCGTTGTAACTACATTTAAAAAGGGGAAAGGAACCAGTTTAAAGAAATAGTTTGTCTTAATTTACACAGATATCCAAAGCTAAATAAGGTAAGATAGGGGAGATCATTATTTTAACACATGAAAATTCCTTTTTCTCAGTAGGTATAGAAAATGGGGCCCCAGAACACAAAGTTTATGTGCTGTGTGTAGGGAGCTGGATCTCATGTGGCTGACCTCAGTTTGAATCCTGGCCCTAGTGCCTGGAAAAACATGCCAGGCAGCTATGTATGCATGTCCCAGATTCTGATGGAATGGGGAAATGGAGGAGAAGGGATTATGGAGTGACCATACTCCACAGAAGGGTGCTTTCTCTCTCTGTCCCCCTTTGGTGATATACATGCTGTCTGGCAATAATTAATGAAGTAATAATAATAAAAGAAACTGAGGGGCCAGCAGGTGGTGTAGCGGTTGTGTCATTGGACTCCCACATGGCCCATCACAGTTTGAGTCCCAGACCTGGTGCCTTCTTCACATTGGTACCTGCCATGGTGTTTACAGAGAGGACTTCATTCATGAATGAGTAGCCAATATTGTGTTAGCACATGGAAACAGCAGTTTATCAGAAAGTTTCATTTATATGTGTTTGTTTTGTTTGCTTTTGCACTGAAATTAAAAGCCATTGCTTTAAATTTAGCAATAGAGTCTATAGGCAAGGTAAGAGTCAGGAATTGTGAAGTTTGCATTGTACAGAGAGTGAAATGTGTATTGGGATCATTTAGCTCAGAACTTTCACAGACAAGGAGGAGATGGCTTGTTGCATTTTGGAATCTACAAAAGAACTAATGTGCTTTGAAGTAGATATTTCTTCCCTTTTTCTTTCTTTCTTTCTTTCTTTTTTTTTTTTTTTGAGAGATTTTTGCTATAGTGCGCGTGACCTTGCCAGAAAGACAGAGAGGAGACAGAGAGACAGAGACAGAAGGCGAGAAATCACTCCCCCCCCCCCCACCCGGTGTCTGTTCTGTGATGTGTATAGTACTGAGGTCACTAAGACTATAACTACATTTGTTTTATCTTTTGTTTTTTAAAAATAATTATAAATTTTATTTATCATTATTATTACTTTTTAATTTGCTACAAGGCATTTGTGGTCATCAGAGAGAGACACACATACACACACACACACACACACACACACACACACAGAGAGAGAGAGAGAAAGTGAGAAAGCAAGCCACCAGGCCTGAGACTTGAACCACAGTCAGCCAACTGAGAGTCCAGTGCCCTAAACACAATGCCACCTGTTAGCCGTTGTAACTACATTTAAAAAGGGGAAAGGAACCAGTTTAAAGAAATAGTTTGTCTTAATTTACACAGATATCCAAAGCTAAATAAGGTAAGATAGGGGAGATCATTATTTTAACACATGAAAATTCCTTTTTCTCAGTAGGTATAGAAAATGGGGCCCCAGAACACAAAGTTTATGTGCTGTGTGTAGGGAGCTGGATCTCATGTGGCTGACCTCAGTTTGAATCCTGGCCCTAGTGCCTGGAAAAACATGCCAGGCAGCTATGTATGCATGTCCCAGATTCTGATGGAATGGGGAAATGGAGGAGAAGGGATTATGGAGTGACCATACTCCACAGAAGGGTGCTTTCTCTCTCTGTCCCCCTTTGGTGATATACATGCTGTCTGGCAATAATTAATGAAGTAATAATAATAAAAGAAACTGAGGGGCCAGCAGGTGGTGTAGCGGTTGTGTCATTGGACTCCCACATGGCCCATCACAGTTTGAGTCCCAGACCTGGTGCCTTCTTCACATTGGTACCTGCCATGGTGTTTACAGAGAGGACTTCATTCATGAATGAGTAGCCAATATTGTGTTAGCACATGGAAACAGCAGTTTATCAGAAAGTTTCATTTATATGTGTTTGTTTTGTTTGCTTTTGCACTGAAATTAAAAGCCATTGCTTTCAATTTAGCAATAGAGTCTATAGGCAAAGGAAGTGTCAGGAACTTGCATTGTACAGAGAGTGAAATGTGTATTGGGATCATTTAGCTCAGAACTTTCACAGACAAGGAGGAGATGGCTTGTTGCATTTTGGAATCTACAAAAGAACTAATGTGCTTTGAAGTAGATATTTCTTCCCTTTTTCTTTCTTTCTTTCTTTCTTTTTTTTTTTTTTTTTGAGAGATTTTTGCTATAGTGCGCGTGACCTTGCCAGAAAGACAGAGAGGAGACAGAGAGACAGAGACAGAAGGCGAGAAATCACTCCCCCCCCCCCACCCGGGGGATGGCCACTCCCCATTCCCTTCTCCTCCATTCTCCTCTCAGGATCTTGGGCACACACACACACACACGTGCCCAGCATGACTTTAAGCCACTGGGTCTGGGACTTGAACTGCAGTCGACTATATGGGAGTCCAGCGACATAGCCATTACATCAACTGTTGGTCTTCCCTTTTGCAGTTCTTTATAGACAATCAAAAAGAAGCATTGGTTGAAATTCTTTTAATTGATAAAATAATGTATTGGGATTTGTTATGTGCCATGGATAAAATATAACCGCTCCCTAGCACGATTGCTGCCTATATGACATTATCCCTACTTGAATGCCTCATAAGCATCCCAAACCCAACTTGCCTAAAATAGAACTCTTAATTACCCTGATAGCCCATGAATCTCCTCTTCTCCAAGTTTTTGCTGTCTTAGAAAGTGGAACTTCCCACCCAATTGTCCAAGGAAAGGTTCTAAGAGTTAACTCTTAAAGGTTCTAAGAGTTTGAGCTTTTTGCCTTCCCTTCCCCTACAGCCAGTCTGTCAGTAATTCCTGGTGACTTTACCTCCAAAATGGACCTCCAGTTCACTGACTTTTCCTCATTGATGTTATCTCCCTATTCAAATAATTACCATCTCTTATCTGGAACAGTGCAAAAGATCATTGGGTCTTTTTATCTGTCTCCTTATTTATATATGATAAATAAAACCTTGACCCTTACTCTGGCTTACAAAACAGCTTAAGATCCTGCCCTCACAACCTCTGTAACCTCAACTCCTACCACTCTATCTTTGATACAGAATTCTCCAGACCCCAGTTTCTGTAACGCCATCTGTCCATGTGAAAGCCTTATCCCTAGGAGGAATGAGCTTTGCTCATCTTCTCACAGCTGGCTCCTTCTACTATTTATCAAGAGAACAAGATTTCTGATGAGTGTCACCCTCATAGAGGCCTTTCCTGAGCACCCTGCTTGCATACACTATCCTCCCGAAAGGTACCATTTGTCACATAACCCTTACACTATCCTATTTAAATTACTTGGATAGCTCTTATAGACATCCCTAACAGTGTCTGCCTGAATGTAAGATCCAGGAGAGCAGGGACCTTACCTGTTTTTTCACCACTGTGTTACGAAGACCACAGATGAGGTCAGTGTTGGGGTGTGGGGGTAAACCCATTCTCAGCTGCATGTGATGTGGGATCCAGCCTGTTTTCAACTTGGAAACTCACAGATTATTTCTCCCTGTTCTCTTTTTGCAGAGGACTGGACTTTACGAGTACAAAGTCTTTGGTGTTCTGAGGGATTGCTCACCAGATCTACTTGCAGATGTCTACATGGACTTAGTCTACAGAAAAAAGTGGGACGAGTATGTTAGCAGTGAGTGATGCCTTTTTTTTTTTTTTTAATCATTAGATAGTAGAATTTATTCTTATTTATTCTAACTAGTAGAAAGTAACGGATTTAATTTTCACTATATTGTGCTTCCTTTTAAATTTTAGCACAAAAGTCTTTTGAATATGAGACCGAAAAGTACCTTTGATCTTCCTAGAATTTGCTTCTTACACAATCTTAGGTCCACGCTGCAATGTGCTCTGAGGGCGCCTTTGCTTTCCCTGTTATGTTGTCACCCCATATACCTGAAGGTCATAGAAGGCCTCTTAGAGGAGGTAGTGTCCAAACTTTCTTTTCAAAGTTTAATTAAAGTTTTTAAAACAGGTGTGTATATGAAGAGGCAAGAGATCAGGTGGTTTAAGCTAGGCTCAGAGAACAGCATGTGTAAAAGTAGGAGAGCATGAAATAGCACGTTCAAAAGCTACCAGGGGTTTGGTGTTGCTGGGCTGGTTGGAGAAGCAGAAGCTGGTCTAGTTCTACTACTCTTAGGAGGGCAAGAGGAAGGACCAGACTCCCAGCTTAGCGTGGCCACGAGGCTACAGGTTTTTAGATTTTAGAACTCTTGATTACCCCCTTAGCCTATGAATCTCCTTTTCTCCAAGTTTTCTCTATCTTGGAAAATGGAACCCTCTGCTTTCTTCTTCTAAGAGTTGACTGCTATCTGCACGCAGCAGAACGGTAAGGAAATTTAGTCACTGGAGCTCTGGTATAGTGTAAAGGACTGTGAGAGGGAAGTAAGAAACTTGGGCTTATTCACAGTTTTTCCACATTCTGTTTAGAAAGGATATTGTCTCTGTAAGTGATGTAGAATCAGAAAGGATTAAATAGGGAATATGCCTGTCACTCAGAGCTGAGAGTGGCCTTCGCCGTCTCACTCATGGTAGGATACAACTACGGAGCTTACTAAGGCATATAAAGTGTGTATTGGGAAGCTTGGTTGCAAGTAATAAAAAGCCAACTAAAGGTAGTGTAAGAGGGCTGGCTCTACAGCCTAGTGGTTAAGTGATCCAGGTCTCACATCCACACGGCAGACCATGCTTTGAATCCCATACCCACTGGTTTGAAAAACAGGTGTGTATGTATGTGCCCCAAATCCCAACAGGAAGAAGATGGTAGAGAAGGTACTCTTCTCACCTCTTTGTCTTTCTTTGGCAAATGCGCACACCCTATGGCAATTAAAAAAAAAAAAAAGAAAAGAAAAAAAAAAAGAAAGGTAGTATAAAAAAAGAAAAAGCGACTTACTGGTTCATGGGATTGAAAGGTCCAGAGGTGGCATGCTGGTTAGGGCAATTGGATCCCACATGACCAATGTTCTCTTGGATATTATGTGAGTATCTAAAGCTTTGCTAGAGTGGTGAACTAAGATCTTTGGCAAGTGCAAGATCTCTGAACTGATCACCATGGCCAAGTCTAGTTCATTGTCCCAGCCCTGAAATTCCTGCAGAGTTAATGCTGCTTAAACCACATAGTCAAAAAGTAGAGGAAGGCTAATTCCCTGGAAGAAAATTGACATATTGGTAGGAGGAGGGGGAAGCAATGCTGAGCATCCTAAACTAAGAAATGTCCACTATTCCCCTTCTTTTCAGGGCTGTCTTCAGCCAGCTGTGGTACTAATGGGCAAGCAAGCTTTAATCCACCATCTGCTTCTAATAGAGTTTTTTTTTTCAAATATTAAATTTCTCTCCCTTTCCCACACACCATGAGCATTTCATCAGGGACCATCTTGGTTTCTTCAGCATCCTGTGATGGGCTCCTTCTCTGAATGCTTGGGTAGATGCTCACTGCACAGTCTGGAGTTAGAGGGGGTACATATGCTTAAAACCCTCTGCTTTATTTTTCCAAGAGTTGGCTGTTGTTTGCACACAACAGAATAGTAAGACAATTTGGACACTGTAGCTCTGGTACAGTGTAGAGAACCGTGAGAAGGAAGCAAGAAACTTAGGCTTGTTCACAATTTTCCCACATTCTGTTTAGGAAGGATATTGCCCTCTGGAACCTTCATTTCCCACTTGAAGGTGCTTTACTGGCTCTCCTTCTTAGTCCCAGGCTCATTATAATACTTCAAGAGATCTTGAAAGGGGCAGTCTCAGAAGGAAAACTATTGGTACTCTAGTGACATCTGGTGGTCACCTTGATTTTAAAACCTTTCACAGTTTAGTAACTGATGTCTGACTCTATTGCCACTCTCCAAAGATCTCATTTGTGTTGTATGTTCGACTGGTTTTGTTGGGCTCTTACTTTTACTGTGATTTTATTGTCCCCTAGACTGTGTACCTAGGCAACAAGCATTCCGTGGTAATGGCTTCTTAAAATAATTCTACCTCTGATATGTTAGTGGTTTATATACCCTGCAAGGTCATTCTTTGTGTGCTGCTTGTTAATTGAAGCTGAACCAGTTTCTAGATGCATTAATTTCTTTTGCTCTTTTCCAGAACTCTATGAAAAAGAATGCAATGGAAAGATGGTGGTTTACTGGGAAGTGAAGTACCCTTTTCCCATGTATAACAGGGATGTATCCTTTCCACAGGCAAACCATCCCTTGGCCTTCTAAGTGTTCTATGCCCCTAGGCCACCACATTATATAGGATTTGGGGTTGGGAGTTTGCTGGTGTTCCTACAGGTGTTGACGATGTTGCCTCTGATTCTTACAGAAGCATCTGCTAGAGCTGTTGCATTTTGTGTGGTTTTCGGAGACCCCCGATTGTGATTTTCTGGTCTGACCATGTGAAGCATCTATAATTGGGTCACCTGAGGCAGTTCATGCTTTCTAGAGTCTGTCTGGGGCTTGAAACGATTGAGCCACAGAATTGGGGGACCTGCAAGGGACTGTTTATAAAACCTGTTCAATCTATAGAGGAGGAGGCGGGAAGCCCAGAGAGGTGGAATGATAGAGACATACAGGTGGTTAGTGGCAAAGCAGGTCCCAGAACTCAGTGCCCTGCATTGACAGCTCTCCCCAGGCCCTCCTTCTGCCTCTGTTAATCCCATGATGATCCCTCCTTGACTATTGACTCTAACACTGGCTTCATTTATGAAATGAAACATTTGAATGAAATGAGGACATTTAAACTGGCTCACTAAGTTTCTAAGAAATCCCATAGGATTAGCCTAGGATAGTAGAATGGAAATTCTCTGAGTAGGCAGGATGGAGTGGAATAATGAATAGGTGAGATTTCAACTCCCTCACAGTTCTTTCCAATCACAGCAGCTGAGTGTTTTGCATATTGAATTTCCATAGAAAATATAGAAGATTTTTGTTGTTGTTTTTTGGTTTTGTTTTTGCTATAGGGTGCAATTGCTAGAAAGAGAGAGAGAGAGAGAGAGAGAGAGAGAGAGAGAGAGAGAGAGAGAGAGAGAGAGAGAGAGAGAAAGTAAGAAATCACCTTCCCTGGGGAAATCACCATGCCACAATCCCTTCTCTTCCATTCTTCTCTCAAGATTTTGGGCATGCATGCCCATGCACACATAATGACTCATAGTGATTTTCAAGTCTCTGAGTATGGGACTTGAACTATAGAGCTGGCCATGAGGGATCCAGCACCTTAACCTCCATAGCACCTACTGGTCCATAGAAGATACTTTTAATAAGGCTTTTATGGAATAAAAAAAGTTTGTAAGCTACTGAATTAGATGATCACTGGGACTTACCTACCTCTCACATTGTGTAAGTCTGTATGTTTTAAAATAACTGTTCTCTAGAAATAAAGGAGAGTGGGATTTGTTTGTGTGTATTTCTGTATTTATGCCTGTGTACTGTCCCTGAACCTCAACTAGACTATAAACACATTAAGAGTTTATTTCTTGGCATAATATCCACATACTACTAGTTCGTGTAAATGTGATTTGTATTTCAACAAGTCATTGATTACTCAATCCCTTAGATTTAAAAAAAAAAATTTAATATTTTTTTTTTTGAGAGGTTTCTGCTATAGGGCACATGTGCTCACCAGAAAGACAAAGAGAGACAGAGAGACAGAAAGCAAGAAATCACCCCCCAGGGGGGATGGCCACGCTGCAATCCCTTCTCCTTCATTCTCCTCTCGGGATCTTGGGCACACATGCACACATGCCCAGCATGAGTTTTAAACCACCAGTTCGGGGACGTGAACCGTGGTTGACTACATGGGAGTCCAGTGACATAGCCATTACGCTAACTGCTGGTCCCCCATAATTCATTTTTTTTTTTGCATTTAATTCCTGTACATCTTTACAGCATGCTAAATAGACTATCTGGTGCAAAATAGATTATCTGGGCATGGATATAACTACATATTAGTCCAGTCAAAGATATTACCATACTTATTATAATCAACAAATAATTTTCCATTTTTGTGTCCTTTAAATGTTCTGCTTCCTCCCTCCAGATTCCCTCAGTCCTGCCCGCCATGGTCCACTCTCCACCCATACTATTTCTAGCATCCTCAGTTGCTCTTCCTAATTTTATACCTTCTAATCTTTAAATTTCTGCTGCAAACACAGACTTTCAGCATATATTACATGGGACATACAATGCCTCTCTTTCATAGTCTAATTTATTTCATTTAGCATTAAATCTTCCATATTCATCCACTTTCTATCAAATACCAGCGTCTCATTGTTTTTTTTATGGCTGAGTGGTATTCTGTAGTGTATATGTGCCACACTTTTTTAATCCATTCATCTGTTCTTAGATATTTGTATTAGTTTCATTTCTTACCAATTATGAATAATGCTGCAGTAAACATGGATGTGCAAGTGACTCTTGTTTCTTAAGATCTGATTATCTTCCCTAGAATAGGGCCATAGAATACCAGTTGTCTTGTGAATATTTTGT